CACACACACACACACACACACACACACACACACACACACACACACACACACACACTCCAAGTTCAAGGGCAGCTCTTGGACTCTTCAGTTTTCACTTTCCTCCTTAGAGCGAGGCAGGGCCGGTTGACCACGGCAGCAAAGAAGAATTACACAATCCCGTGTTTCCGCAACAGAGGAATTCTAACCAGAAACCAGGGCCAAGCTGTGAAGGTGGGTGGGGAAGGGACACACAGGAAAGCAGCCTCTCTAGTTCACAGCCCAGCCTGTCTTTGGCACTTGGCAGGGCCCTCAGGACACACAGGCACAGGTCCCCACCACGGCTATCTGCCTCTTAGCTGCCACCTGCCAAGCAAAACACAGGATCATCAGCTCTAGGACGCTGCTCTGACAGGGGCTGGCTGTGTTTGCAAAGCAAAAAACAAAAACAAAAACAAAAACAAAAAACAAACAAGCAAAGCAAAACAAAACAAAACAAAAACCAACTGTTTTCTGAGACAGGATCTCTCGTAGCCTAGGCTGGCCTTGACTTTGCTATGTAGCCAAGGATAACCTTGAATGTTTGATCCTCCTGCCTCTACTCTTTACCTGTGATTACAGGTGTTCACCTGGTTTTATGTAGTGCTGGGGATGGAACCCAGGGCTCCATGCATGCTAAGCAAGCATTCCGCAAACCGAGTCACATCCCTACTCACAAAGATAATTTTTTTCTGTGCTGCCGCCTGCTGTCAGGAGCCAGGCTCCCACGGCTGCCCTCGAGCACACCACCAGCCCCTCTGCATCCTGCATGAGGCCAGCAGAACAAGAATATCCTGAAGATGGGTGATTGACAGTGGGGGACAAAAAGGAAACTGTTCAACCCCTTTCCTCCCTCTCGACCCCACCCCCACCCTCCCAAATAAATAAATTAATGGGTTTAGGAATGTCCCCAAAGTTCTTTCCAATCGGCTCAAGTCCTCTTCCTGTTCTGCTTTCAGTTGAATGAGTCTCCAGACTTTTAGCCTTTCTTTTTTTAAAAAAAATAATAATAATAATAATAATAACCCCGGAGCAGCTGCCTGGACACTTTCCGGGACAGAGAGGACATTCGTTGCACCAGGGAGAAGCCAGGCCCCTGGTCTGACCTCTGTTCTCTTGCGGTTTTGGTGTAAACTCCTGGGATGCGCTGACGGCAGCTGGAGAAGTACCAAATCCAAGCCCTGGACCAAAGAGTTCGGGCTCCGGTCAGAGTCCCTGAATGACTTCGGCCCCCCTGGCCCTGCCCAGCAGAGCCACCTCTGCCATACTGAATGAACCCGGGGTGGCTATGCTATAGGCAGTCTTTGCAGAGGGCCACTTGGCCCTTGATGAAGTCCCGGCAGGGGCAGATCCTCTGGTGTGTGGGGTGGGCCCCGGCACAACTGAAGAGCAGGAGATCCCCTTGGAACACACAGTGCTTGCTCTTGGGGTGGAAGGATGGCACCAGGATGTCCTTATACACTTCTGAGCTTTGGCAGGTCACCCTATACCTAAGGGGAAGAGAAAGGTACATGAGGCGGAGGTGCTGGGGCAGGACCTGTCCACTCCACATTGTCGGATCGTCTGCTTTGTGCTGTGGGAGCGTATCCGATTATCCTGCTTCAGAGACAGCATCCTCCGCCTGACTCTGAAGTTCTCCACATCTCGGGAGCTCAGCCATGCAAAGGAAAGCACGCGTGCAGGGGACCGGCTCTGAGGCTGGGCTCCTTGGGGGAAGCGCTATCTGTCGTGGAGAAAGGCTGAGAGCAGCCTGCACACTTGAACAGGGAATGAGCATGCTGTGCTTTGGAACTCTGTGCAGCTGCTGGAAAAATAAGGGAGAAGAAATGGGTGCTCCATCCAACGTCTGGGAGGAGGCAGGAAGAGCAGGGTGAGAGGTGGGGTGAACGTGGTGGGTGAAAGCCAAATGGGGCTGGAGAAGGTGGTTCAAGCCAGCAAAGTTATGGCCATGAAGCATGAGAATGGAGTTCCATGCCTAGGACCCAAGATAAACAAGAAAAGCCAGCATGCACTTGTAACCCCAGGGCTGGAGACCCCTGGAACTTTATTAGCCAGCCTAGTCCACTTGGTAAGTCCCAGGAAAACGGGAGACCCTGTCCCCAAAAGCAAAGTGGATGGCATCTGAGGAATGGTAGCTGAGGTCTTCATACACATATGGATATTAGTGTACCTACACAAACATATGTACACACACACACATACACACCCCCTAGGTCTACACACTGATGTGCAAGCAGTGGCCGCTTCTGAGAAATAAGACCAGGACAAAGCAATGTACTATTGAACTAGTTTTATATGTACTCTTAATATTTAGCTGGGAATGGTGGCTTACACTGGCAATTCCAGTTGAGGACAGGGTCGAACTGGGCTACATAGTGACTTCTAGGCCAGCATCTGCTACAGAGTGAGACCCTGTCTCAAAGCAAAGCAAACATCAAGGAAGAGGTTGGCATGGTGGTTCATGGTGGTCTATTATCTTAGCATTTGGGAACTGCAGGCAGTAGGACAGGCAGTTCATGGTCATCACCAGCTGCACAGGGAGCTCAAGGCCAGCCTGGGTAACATGTGACCCTGTCTTAAAATAAGTAGAAGAAAGGGGGAGAGGAGAAAGAGGAAAGAGAATAAAGAGGAGGAGGCAGAGGAGGAAGGAATGCCAACTTTCACACCTAACTGTGCTCTAGATGACCCTTACTCTGGGTTGGCCAACTGGGGTACCCTCTGAAGAACCTGAGCCAAGAAGTAATTCAGTGCACCTGAGAATATTCTTATCCTGCAGATAAGAGAACAGAAGTGACAGGTAACCAATCCCAGGCCCACGAGAAGCTGGGTGTGGTGGTACTGCCTGTAACCTCAGCCCTCCTACTTCAAGATGGGAGGCAGACGCAGGACCTTGCCTGGGAGCTCACAGGCCAGCAGTGGAGAAAACAAAGAGCCTGTTTCAAACAAGGTGGAAGGTGGGGAACAGCTACGGTTGTACTCTGACCTCTACATGCATGTCATTGTACGTGCACACCCACACTGACATACATAAATGCATGCATGTCCACATGCATCATAGAAACAGACATTATGCACACACATATCACACAAGTCCAGGTCATACACACATCATATGTGTATTGTGAGTGTGAGAGTTGAGCTTTTTCTGGGGCTGCAACCTGCTTCCCCCTTTCCCACACGGTTTCCCTGAAGCCCAGAGCTGGGAGAGCAAATCCAGGCACCTGTCAACTGGACTCCCGAGGAACTTACTTCAGCAAGTCCTTTTCCTTGTTGAGGTGCTGGAAGAAGGACGGCTCGCAGATGAGCTGGTTCTCCTGGCACACTTGCTTGCAGGACTGCCCGGGCTCAGCCAGCTTCACCTGCAAGGCGCTTAGGGGCGGCCACATCACCTGGCCATGGCAGAAGTCCTAGAAATGACAGGGACACCATCATCAGCTAGGGGACCAAGGGCACAATGGGGCAGCTTCAGTCTCGCAACCAAACACAGGAGGCACCACGCTCAGAAAGAGTGATAAAAAGGACACATCCTTGGGACAGGCTGCGGCCTCTTTAAACACCCGTTTCCAGGCCAAGGATGTGGCTCAGTAGGAAGAATGGCTTTCTAGCTGCATGAAGCTCTGGTTCTATCCCCTGCACTGGATAAACCAGGATACATACATAGCTGTAATCCCGCTCTTGGGAGGCAGAGGCAGGAGGATCAGAAGTTCAATGTTATCTTTAGCTACAAAATGAGTTTGAGAAAAGCCTGGGCTAGAGGCTCTGTCTCAAAATGCACCACACACACACACACACACACACACACACACACACACACACACTTCCTCATTCTTCATGAGGACCATCTTTGGGACCATCCCCACTGGCTCTGACTCCTCCTTTTGGATTCTCCAAATACTATACACAGCTCATGCCTGCACTAAGCCATGGGTAGCAGGGCCCTGTGGGTCTGGATGCTGTTACTAAGGGCACAGCATGACTGTGCAGACTCTCAGTATGTTAAATGGAAGTGCAGTCTATACTAATGGCCACTGTTCTTTGCCATTGTAGTGTGTAGAAAGCTTGCATATGGCAGCTGCCCGTCCATCAGAATAGCTGTCAGACAGAACCAATAGCTGAGAGACACATGGGCATCTGAAAAAGCTTACACTGTGTTCTTGCTGGTTAATGTAAGCATCTTTACTTAAGTGCTCAGGAGCGAATGGGTACCTCTCACAGCCCTTAAGGCTGTAATGGAGAGAGTTCGATCCAGCACACATGGAGTTTCCTAGTTGCCTAGACAGCAGGGGAGGAGTACCAGCTATTATACTTGTCTCCTTGCTGAGACAAAACGCCTGCCAAACGCGACTTCAGGGAGAAAGGGTTTGTTCGCCTGATGAGACTGTCATGGTGGACATCACAACTGACCTGCAGTCATGACCTGCAGTCATGGTCAGGAAGCAGAGCGAGAAGAGCGCTGGTGCTCGGCTTGCCTCCTCCCTTTGACCCAAGTTCCAGGGCCACCTATATTCAGAATGGCTCTTCCCTCTTCAGCTAGCCCTTTCTGGAAACACCCAGAGGTGTGTTTCCATGTGATTGTCAATCCAGTCAAGTCCACAATTAGGTAACAACAGGCAATCCACAAGGACCCCCTAGACCAGAATATACCTGAACCAGAGGCAAGTGAGAATTTCTTGGCCTTTTGAATTTGGTGACTAAAGTTTGACCTTTGATATCCTTAAAGGCCCATGTACTGAAAGCTTTGTCCCCAGCGAGGCGCTCCTGGGAGCTGTTGGAGCCTTCGGGAGGCTTAGAGCCTTCAAGAGCCTTCAGGACATTAGGAGCTTGCCTCTGAAGGGATGCAGCAGTTCCTTCCTGTCTTCCCAGTCATGAGCTAAGCAAGTTTTTGCTGTTGTTATTTATTTGTTTAGATTTACCTTATTTTTAGTGCACATATGCATGTGTGTGTGTGTTTGTGTGTGCGCGCAAGCGCGTGCATGCGTGTGCATGTGGGGTCCACAAGAGGGTAGCGGATTCACTGGAGCTGCAGTTAGACACAGACAGTTACAAGCATCCTGTAGTGGGTTTGGGGAACTGAACTTGATCTTCTGCAAGAGCAGCAGGTGTTCTTACCCACCGCGTCCTCTCTGAGTCCCCTAGCTGAGCAGTTTTGCTTTGGGACATGCTTGGCCATGATGGACTGCTTCACGACAAACCTACGGCAATGAGGCGCCGTCACGGACAGAACCCTAAACCGCACTGATAGAAAGCCTCCCTATTCTGAGTTCGTCATCTTGGGTCTCTGTGATGGCTACAAGGGCTCAGCAGCAAACCTAACTTACAGCAGCCTGGGGAGGAGGAAAGCCCGCCAAGGCTAAACGTTCAGGTTCTGGCTTTTACGACTTTGGTCTCTCTCCTCAGATAGTCCCTGGACTGTATCCTTGCACCCGGTGTTTCAGAATGTTAGAGTTTCCTTTCTCATTCATTCTTACCCTCCTACCAAGCTAAATCTGAAGCTAGCAAACCAGACGGGCCGGATCTAAAGCCTGAGCCCAGGACACTGGCTCTGGTCCCATCCAGCTCCGGGCTCATCTGTACTGTGGAGGAACTAGTCGAAGAAGAACGAGGCTCAGGAGAGATGGCAAAGGGCACGCACTCACTGATGCCCATTAAGTTCCCTGGGAGCGTAGCTTCTTCTAGGGTAGCCTATGGACAAGGCCTGGCAGGCATATGGAGAAGCCGGGCTTCATGGATGAACGGTCACCCTGCATCTATTCTGGAGCAGGGCAGGAGTTGTTGCAAGGTTCAGACAGTGGGAGCTGCCCTTGAGGCTGTGTGGTGGAGCTGAAGTGACAGCAGCTGTCTTCTCCAGGGCCCTCCCACGCACATGCCTCGCTCAAGTCTGCACTAAAGAAAAAGGCCCCCAGGTACTTGCTCCTGCCCATCATGATGGCCTGGTGTACTCTTAGGAGTCTGTTCCAGGGACCACAAGGTCCAAGAATAGAAAAAAAAATAGCATCAAAGCCTTAAACTTAGGAACTATCTAGACAGTTTGAAGGTAACAACTGATCAGAGGGAGGCCACGTTGTCAGAGAAAGCATGGCAGAGGCGGGCTGGTCCCCAGCGGGGGACTTCACAGATGTCTTGCAAGCCCCCTCCACCTGACCCATATAGGAAATGGGGACAGGGACTCCTGCCCTTCTTTCTGGTGCAGTTCTGAGGATGAAAGGGAGGCGAGGTAAGATGGAGGCCGGGAATAACAGTGCCGGGCACTGCAGCGTGGGTGAGTCACTGGGTCACACCCACAGCTTATCTGTGACAGCGCCTCTTGGCTCAGCCGCTCACAGGGCACAATGGGAAGGCAAGCGTGGGGCCCCAGCCTCCTCTCAGCCACGGTGCAATGGCCAGTGGGCCGATCGGGAAGCTAGGGGGAAGACTGCTCTCTCATTCACCACCCCAAGCTCCCAGCAGCACAAGCTGCCTCCTTCATTTACACATTCCTCCATTCTACAGATCCTCGCCAAGAGACAGGAACTGGAAGGCGTGCGCCTGGCCTTAGAGGGGCAGTGCGCAGTCTAGTAGTAAAAGACTGGCACTTGCAAAGCTTGAGACAGTGAACCAGACGCCTATGGACATGGTGAGGGCCACCTGGACAGGGCTGGCTCTACGGGGAGGGGAAGAGTGGCGGTGGCAGCCATCAGAGGCGGCTTCCAGGAGATCTGGCCTTCTAGGCTGGGTTCTGTAGGCAATACGGGAGTTAGCAGCTTACCGCCCTCATGGCATTCCGCAGCTAATCAGTGCGCAGTAGAGAGCTACTACTGAATGTGCCTGCCTGATTTTGGCTTCCTGGAGGCTTGGATAGGAGTAAAGTAGGGAAAGAGGCTATTCCAACCCAATGAGGCATCTCTGCAGCCAGGAGGAGGGCGAAACAGTTGCCGCCAATCTGGTTAACAAGCTCACGGGGTGGGGGGGGCACGCGCCATCTGCAGCTCCTCTCTTACGTTCTTCCCGCCATTGATGCACCTGTCTCTCAGCGTGTTTGGCTATTCTGAAATCGTCATGCAGGGACTAGAGATCAAGAATTCACCAACCGAGCTGTCAGTCAAAGCAATGCCTTCTCTCTCTCTCTCTCTCTGTCTCTGCACGCCTCACCTCTCCACACGTGTACATGTACGTGAAGGGTCGAGGCCAATATCTGGTGCTGTTCTTCAGCTGAGACTTGGTCTTCTACTTCAGTGGGACTCCTCACGCAGGATAGGCTGTGTGTCCAGAGAACCCCAGGGGTCCTTCTGTCTCCATCTCCCCAGAGCTGGATTACAGACAAGTGCACACCACCAAGCCTGCTTTTCCCTCTATGCTGGGGATGGAATTCAGGCCCTCACACCTATGTGGCAAGCACCAGACTGACCGAGCCATCTTCCCATCTTCCACAGCATGACTGAGTCCAAGCACTGTGAAGGAGATACTGGTGCTGGCCCCGTAAAGGAGGCTCAGCAGGAGCCTGGAGGAAAGTGCTTCACCCAGTGCCCATATGGCTCAGGAAGACTGGGGGCCTGTCCTTATGAGGGAAGGCTTGACTCCTCCTCTGCTATGGATGAATAAGGTGGGAAGGGCCAGGTGCTCGGTGTAAAGCAGAGACTTCTGAACAAAAAAGCCAGTGACAAATGCCAAGTGTGGTGTGTGACAGGGTCTTTTCCATTCCATCCAGACCTGGACTAATTACCCCCAATCCCACTTGCCTCTCCATTCCTCCATCCCAACCTATCTTCCTTCCTTCCTTTTCTTTTTTCTTCTTTCTTTCTTTCTTTCTTTCTTTCTTTCTTTCTTTCTTTCTTTCTTTCTTTCTTTCTCTCTTTCTTTCTTCCTTTCTTCCTTTCTTCATTTCTTTCTTTTATTTATTTGAGACAAGGTCTCCCTCTATACCCTAGGCTGGTCTTTAACTTGGACTAATGGAGTAATCCACCTGCCTCAGTCTCTTGAGTGCTTTGGCCAAAGCCTGTAGAGAACATTTCCAAGTCTTGGTTGATGGGGCTATTTGGGACTTTTAGGGGGTGCAGCTTTCCTAGAGGAAGTGGGTCACTTGAGGTAGACTCTGAGGTTTTATAATCTGGCCTTGCCTCCTGTTCACTACTTTCTGCTCCCCGTCTGTGGGTGCCATGAGACCAGTCATACTACACTCTTGCAACTATAGACTGATCCCTGACTGCCGTGTTTCTTGTCGGGCCTTTGGTCACAACAATGAGATGCTAGCACAGTGCTCACGGATGCCGATCAGTAGAGCTGACATCGGGGCTGCACAGAAATCCTCTACATCGAACACTTGAACACCAGAGTGTATGCTGGAGAAGTGGAAACCCAGGTCCAGGCCAAGATCGCAGTGAATGTCCCTCCCAGCACTCCCTGTTGCACTCAACGGTGGGGACAATAGATCCACCAATCGGGAGTGGAAAGACACGCGGTACACCTGTAGTATGAAGCTCCCTTTAGCGGTGAAAGAGCTAAGTCAGCACTCCTACAGGCTTTCGACTTTTTCCTATTGGGGTTTTGTTTTGTAAATCAATTATGCAGATCTTGAGTGTGAACTCTGTAGGCATTAATATGTTATGATGACAACAGGTTTTGTTAAAGAATTAGGTTGGTCCCTTTTACGGCTTGTAAAAAAAGTAACTGAATTGTAGGGGGCAGGCTTTTTTTATTTTGTGTGTGTAGACCTGTCACAGTGTACAGGGGTCACAGGACGACTTGTGGGGTTGGTTCTCTCCTTTCTGTCATGTGAGTTGTGAGAACTGAACTCAGGTAGTGAACTGGTTGGTTTTATGTTGACTTAATACAAGCTAGAGTCATCCGAGAGGAAGGAGCTGTAATTGAGAAAATGTCACCCTAGGATCCGTCTATAAGGCATTTTCTTAATTAGTGATCAATGTGGGGAGGACCAGGTCATGGTGGGTGGTGCCACCCCTAGGGTAGTGGGCCTGGGTTCTGTAAGAAAGCAGGCTGAACAAGCAATGGGGAACAAGCCAGTATGTAGAACCCATCCATGACCTACACATCAGCTCCTACATCCAGGTTCTTGCTGTTTTAGCTCCTGTCCTGGTTCCCTTCAATGATGGACTACAATGCAGAAGCGTAAGTTGAATAAACCTTTCCTCTCCAACTGGCTTTTCAGTCACGGTGTTTCACTGCAGCACCAGAACCCCTGACCTAACTAGGACAGGTAGTTAGGTTTGGAAGCAAACCTTTCCCTACTGAGCCATCTTGTTGGCCTTCATGGGTTTTATGATCTATAAATTATGTCTGTAAATTGAAAACAGTCCCTATATTGATCATTTAGGAACGCTTATATGGTGTTTTGTAAGAAGTATTTTGAACAAAAGAGTCCTAGATTTAATTTTTTTGTTTTGTTTTGTTTTTAGGGACATGGAATCTTGTGGCCCAAAGTACAAGAGCCTCCTGCTTTAGCCTCTCCACTGCTGGATGCTGTTTTCTGGGTTCCGAGCAAAAGAAGAGCTACCAGGTCAGACATGTAGCTTAGCCTGGACTGTGTATTTGCCAACCGTACACAGTGGGAAGGCGGCATCGGCATTGTTTCAGAGAAGACATAGTAGGCGATCTGATGCAGGCTGTGAACTCAGGCTGGCCCTGCTTACTAGTGCCAGCACAGCAGGGAGCAGGGAGGCTGGGAGCAACTTTCACTGTTTCCAGCCAGTGTCCTCCTTCACCTCTTTGTGAGCCTTTTCCTGTTACCACCCTGCTGGCCCAACCCCAGTCCTCTCCAGAGTCACCAAAGGTCTTATCTTGTTTCTGGAACACTCCCCAGGGAATTCAAGACAATCTGGGAGCTAGAGCTGATTCTGCTGCTGCTTTGGGAGTGGGGCTGGCTGTGCAGCAGGGTTGGCTGCACCTGTCTGTATTCTCGTACAGCTTTGCATGTGACCAGACAGTTCTTACCAAGCACATCTTGTTAGGGGGGCTGAGATGGTACAGAGCCTGTCAAATATACACAAAGCCCTGGATTGCATCCTAGCAATGCATAAACGGGGCATGGTGTAACACACCTGCAATCCCAGCATTTGTGAAAACACAGGAGGGCCAGGAGTTCAAGGTTATTCTTGTCCACATAACAAGTTCAAGGCCAGCCTGGGATGCATGAGATGCTGTCTCAAACCAAGTAACAATGTAATTGTGACTGACCACCCTGTATATGCATTTAAGCATTTTTTAAAGTTAGCTTTATTTTGTGTGTATTTAATTGTCATGTGTGGAAGTCTAGCATCTCCTTCCATCAGCTGGATCAACTCAGGTTGCTAAGGTTGGAAGCAAGAGTCCTCACCAAATGAACCACTGCTCTGGCCACACTCTGTATATTGGATCTTTATAGGAAGTAGAAAATGAGTTTCCTTTCTCTCGCTGCTTTGTTTCTCCTGGAGGTAAATCGGTAACTTCCCCCAAACAATACAGAATGGAAACCTTCACAAGTCTGGACACACTTGGAGGGGGGACAGCCACAACTCATCTTCTGTCACTGGGGACTTTGAGTCTCATACTAACTCCCTATCAGCTGAAGTCACTTCCCTTTCCGAGTGTTCATTTCAAATACAATGACAACATTTCAAAGCCATAACAACAATTTCAGTGCAGTGGGGCAGGCCGTGGATGGAGAAGAGCAAGGATTTTCCCTGGACCCAGCTTCCTCCCATGGGGAGAGGGGCTTGCACCCCAGCAGGCTGTGTGTGAGGTAGGCTCCTAGCAGTGACTCCTAACTGTACCCTGAAACCTGGGGTGATCTTAAAGACTGTCAGTTTAGCCTCATCTGATTCCTGCAGCTGTGGGGAGCTATGTGTGTGGTGGGGGACAATCTTGAAAGGGTCCTGGGATAAAGGTGCCCATGTTCCGTGTAGCCCACATGGTGGACTCTGGAAGCTGAGCCCTGACTAATGAACGCTGCAGCTCCAGTGCGGGAATCTTCTCCTCCAAGCCCCAGGTTCCCCGCCCTCACCAGGAGCACCCTCTCTCTGTCCTTGCTGCTCTTTGAAGATACTCTGCAAACTCTAAAAATATAACAAACGCTCCAAGCTCTAAGATCCAAGGCCTGCAGCTAAAAGGAGACTTTATCTGATCCAAAGGGGTCTTGGGTTTTATCGTGCACCCAGGGAACATTTGGGGTCGGAAAGAGTTCCCGAGATATAATAAAAATAGCCCCCATCATTGCTCATTTATGAGGAATTAGGAGGATGTCTTATAAGAAATGCCCAGAGATGTTTCACTCAGTGCAGTACATACCTCACAAGCATGAGAATCTGAGTTTGGTCACCAGAACCCACTTAAAAAAGTATAGTCCTAGCACTGGGGAAGCCAAGCTATGGGACACCTGCACCTGAGATCCTGGCAAATGCATGGCGTTGACACGGCTTTGCACCAAATCTTCAACAAATCCTGGCTGTGCTCAGTTCCCACCATGCAGTTAATCCCGACACATCCTGAGCCTGACCGTGTGGATTGAGAGAGTATATAGACCCCGCCCCATGATGGTCAATATTGTCAACTTGGCAGGATCTAGACTCACCTAGAAGACAAACCTCTGGGCATGTCTGTGAGAGAGGACTGGGTAAACTGAGGTAGGAAAACCCACTCTACATGTGAGCGCCAGCATCTTATGAGCTGGAGTCCTGGACTAAATAAAAAAGAGGCCAGTATTCATCTCTCTGCTTTCCTGACCATGGATGGACTGTGACCAGCTGCTTCATACTTCTGACGCCACATCTACCGGACCCCACCATGACAAACCATACCCCTGAGCTGTGAGCCAAAATAAAACCCTTCCTCCATTAAACTGCTCTCATAGGGGATTTTGCTGCTGTAATGAGAAAAGCCACGAACACACCCCGTATCTTAGCAAGATGAAAGTCAGCAGTGGAAGCCTGCAACTGTGCATAGGACCAAACCCATCCTCCCCTCCCTGCCATGCACCCGTGATGAAGCTTAATTAGCCATGGCAGGAGAGCAATAGCTAAAACTAAAGCAGAACATTACAGCAGTCTGCTGCAATCAACACGATGAGGACAGTTCCTTCCTCTTGCAAAACATTTTCTTGTACCGAACAGAAATTTCCCACTTCGTACTCTGGGATCCTGATTAATATGGAAACCAAACCCTTGGAAAGGGAACCCGTGGCTGGGGAGGTGGTGTACGCATGTGTGAGTGCACACTGGCACAGACGGTGCCAGAGTTATGATGGTTTGGTTCTTTCTGTGTCCTGTGATGAATGGGACAATGACAAGCCCTAAGCTCCCCGTGTACATCATTATATTACAAGACACCACATACAGCACGGCAAGTTAAACAATGCAGATTAACCCGCTTCCTAAGCATGGGGTCAGACCTTACTCTCAGCACTTCCTGGGTACTGCTCATGCAATGCTCTCAGGAGCATTTTTTTTTTTTTTTACTTCTTTACTAAGGCACAGAGAGCATGAGTAATAAATGTTCA